GGCACATAATTTTGCCTTAGTAGCTTCACTGTAGACAGTATGAAACTATAGATATATCAAAATAATATAAGCTAATAAATGAGTATGAAATAGTGTAAAAAATATAAGCCCTTATGTGTTTTTCTGTAAAAAACAGGTTTTGTACCTGGATTCTTATATTTAAATACTTTGCACACTCCTGAAATAAATATTTTTAAACCAAGAGAAAAAAAAAGATAGGCATAACTCAGGAATGCCCCCACTGCCATGCCTCCAAGGATGACCCTGCTGGTGGAGCAGGGTACAAGGATGGGGCTGCCATGAACAGCTGATGGGATCTGGGCCCTAGTGAGCCTGAAGAACCTTGGGTGAGGAGGCAGCCCTGAGTTTTCAAGGATGCAGTGGCCATGGGAAAATGGCTGGTGGCCTTCCTGAGCTTTTGTTTTCTTGTCTATGATGCCACCTGTTATGTAGTGAACCAGTTTCTCTGAGTCTTGCACCTCCCACCTAAGGCAGCTTCCAGGTCCCTTGCTTTTCTTCCCCTCTATTTCCACTCTTCTTGTCCCCCCACAGCATCCCTTCTAGAGCTCTTACCCGATCTTCCATGAAGTTTGGCTGCAGACGTATTTTGGACAGAACAATATGCATGGGCTTGGGGACATGGAGTTTTCCAGAGGCTTGGCTCTGCAGGGCCCCCAGCAGGGTGAGGCTCATCCACAGGAGAGCCAGGACCATCGCTATAGAGTGGCCACTGCTCTTGTAGGTGTTGAAGAAAGAAGAGGAAGCCTGAGAAGCCAGCCCAGGGGAACTATTTATGGACCACCTGGCTGCTGCCCCCATGGGGAGGGATGATTCATCCTTTGCTATGAGCAGTGAGTCAGTTGTGATAAACTCATTTGAAATGCATGGTGAGATGTCTGACCCTTTTTGCCCTCTAGTCAAGATTGTGCAAGGTAGAAAGAAGAGAAGGCAACAAGGAAGAAGAGGAACATTTTGAGAATTTCATGGTATGGCAAGGGTAAGATTCCCTCTATGTTCTCACTGCACCTCTTCTCTTGATCCAGTTGGTCCTGTCTTTGGGTCAGCAGCTCAGGGCCCCAGAAGCTCTGACTCTGACTCTGTGAGCCTAGATGTTTGTGCAATCTGGGGTGTCAGGACTTAATGGAGGGAACTTCAGAGGGGGTCCTGAGGTGGTGGGTGCTGTGTCTCCTCACTCCATCCATTAGATATGTTACCAGTGTACGCTGACCCTGTGGGCAGGAAGTAAAGCTGAGCAAAGTTGCAAAGTTGTACCCACCTTCCCAGGACTTCTCACTCTCCTCTCTCACATCCAGGGGCTTCTCCTCCTCCATCTCTCCCTGTCTCTGTCTGTCTCTGTCTCTGTCTCTCTGTCTCTACCTCTGTCTCTCTGTCTCTGTCTTTATGTCTCTGTCTCTCTGTGTCTG